GCATAACTCAATCATGATATCCAGTGATCCAGCGGTAACTGTTAAATGATTTACTTACGACTAATCCATGTTTAATAAAATCTAAAAAACCAAACGTAGCCCCCATGTACGTTTACAGAAGGTCATATCCAAGGCGCTGCTCCTCGATGGACGGTCGTAGGAGGAACTCCAAAAACGAGTTGCATATGAATCGAAGATACCGCGGAATTCCAAAAGAAACGCCCTCCCCGAAAATAACTGTTCCCCGAAGTAACGTTAATTTTTTACCTCTCTATTGAACCCTGAAAGTAACCGTCCCCCCCCCCCCCGAAAGTAGCGGCCCTTTGAAGATTTACACTCGACTACAATAAATTGATATACGGTCAATTCAAAGATCACTGGACAACCCTGAAGTGCCCTAAAGCTATACCAATATAACGTTATTGGTTTTAAGGCACACTATTCTTAAAAACAACATGATTTCAAATACGCGCAGAGCTCCTGAAGCAGATTTAATAAGACATTTTTTTCAGACAGGCGTATGCTCAAATTTAGCCAAGATCACAAATATGAGAAAATTTGCACAGAAGAAAGGATTATTTTACAAGAAAACGCTTTAACATCAAAGTTTCTGAACTTGTTTGTCATTTCATGAAACGTCTCTTGCTACAGGTTCCGCATGAGTTTGTAAAAGTACTTTTCCAGTCCAAAAACCCGTTGATGATAACATGTCTCTTTTTTCTTCAGTGAACACTTTCTTTAGTTCCAATAAATTTGAATGCAACGTGAGTGGTAACGCTCTATAAGATTTCAAGTAGGAGGCTTTCCTTGCGAGCTCAGACATCTCTTACAGAAACCAGAATAAAGTTATAAAGGGAGTAAGTCTTTAGAGAAACTGTGGTGCTGCGTCGGTGGGAGAGTAAAACAGGTAATTTAGTGTTAACAACTGAGTTGAAAACGTAAATTAGCCTCCGTAAAGGGTAAAAAAGCTGACGTTTCGAGCGTTAGCCCTTCGCCCCTCGCTCTGACGAAGGGCTAACGCTCGAAACGTTATTTTTTTTACCCTTTACGGTGACCAATTTACGTTTTCAACTCAGTTGTTAACGCAAAATTACCAGAATAAATTTAGCTCGGTGATTCAGGACAGAACACCCGCCATAGCTCCAGGTATCAGGTGCCCGATTTACTGAAAACACTGTTCAGTAAAAAAAAAAAAAAAAAAAAAAAAAAAAAAAGGGGTTAGCTCTTGTCAGTGTTAAAGTGTGAACAATATTAATCTTCAGGGACCGATTCGTATGTCAAACTCCCTGAAAAGGTTAAGGTATTTTAACAGGTTTTTTTTAAATAAATTTTTCTCTTAACGGAGTTTACAGCGTTTCATTTTAAGATAGCTCAAAACAGATTGCTCTTTTTCGAGAAAAGTTCTTCAAATTATTTCTCAAAACAGTTTGGCTCTTCGTAATAAGTATAGTAGTAAACTATACTACTAGTATAAAATTCAGCACATAAATAAAAGAAACACCATAACATCACTTTCCCCCAGATAATTTACAATACAATGCATGTGCACCACAATAAACCATATTCAAACATGGTGAGGTTTAAAGCTGCAAGCTTGTGGAACCGTGTAGAAAATAAAGTAAACAAAAAAAAGAAAAAAATTGTCACCATGGAAACCATAGGACACATCCAGTCGTGCCTCCAAAATCGAAAACTAAATCAGTATTATGGTGGGACGGGAAAATATTTAGCTCGAAGTCATGACGTACGGACCGAACGCAACGAGGTCCGTGTCTCATGATCGAGAGCCAAATCGATATCGAGCTCGGTTGCCCAGAAACAAATATTGATCCAACGTCGTTTGCTTATCGAGCAGGAATGGTAATCGAGTGCGACAGATCGATATCGAGTTCGGTTGCCCAGATACAAATATTGATCCACATTATGAATAAATAAATAGTGTATAAAAACTCCAACTGACAGGAGGCAGACCATTTGGCCATATACAAAGCGCAGCCAAGGAGATGAACTCAGGACAACCGAGAACAATCCCAGTGAGTAGCAGGGGTTGAGGGCTTAAACCCAGCGCTTTAACCACTCAGCCACGCTGTCTCGCCTCTATGTTAGTAATAATAGTTGTTTGTTGGTTTCAGTAGTACAATCAGAGGCTAATTTCCACCTAAACTTAAAGATTCGTATCTCTCCTCACTATCATAGCGTTTGAAATTTTGATAGTCATGACAATGATGATGTTGATTACGATGAAGAAGCTGACATTTCTTACGGGAAAGATCACAATGGCGACTGTGATGAAAATGCTGTATTAGGAACAAATTCCATGTTTGCCTCAATGGAAGTGCTCTTTACAAGGACTTCTGTGTTTTCTTCCATGTTATGCTGATAGTCAAATTGTAGCATAATTTTCGAGCCGATAATTATCGCATCAGTGACCTTAAACAAGAGTTTGCTTCGTTTTATACTGTAGTTACATTTTTATTTTTATTTTGCGTGACCTTAGATGCACCATTCCTTCCTCTTCTTGTTCGTGTTAAGGTCACGAAAGTGCGCAAACAGAATTCTTTCCCACTTAAAAAAATTATCATATTAATTCCATCAACGAACAAGTTCCCAGCTGGTAAAGTGTCGACCTATTAGCAAGGACTCTTCACTTTGGATTACATCATGACGTGTTCGGTGACACGAACAAATAAGTCAGCAGGTGGGGAGTTAGTACGGACATTTACACTTTAAATGAATAAGGAAATTAGATTTATTATATCTCACGTTTGTAACAATTGAGAAGTGGATCATGTATTTGGCACAGATCTGATTGGTGTGTCATGAAAATGCAGTATGAGAGGTGCACAGATTTTTCTCTTTGGCATTTTCACGAACATGTTCAATTGGCCTTCCTGGGCGGCAAAGATAAACGAAGGTAAGGATTGATCAGCTTGTGTACTCCTCTTTAGTAAGTCATATAGAAAACATTATCTTCGAACACGTTTACATTACATTTTCGATGTTATAGAATGCTTAATTCAAAAAGCCCTTGTAAAGTGAGACGTAAATACGTTTGAAAGAATATTATTCGGTTTATAAAATACAGTTATCAGTATATCAACTGTGGTACTAATCCACGTAAAACTCAAAATATCTTTCGGCAGAGAAAATGGCTCGATTCGAACTTCTAAAATTTGCAAAAATTTTCACATGTAGGTGTGTCAGCAACACGACTGGTACCGTAAAGTTTTAAACTTCTGCCTTGAAAAGCAGCTTGAAAAATCACAGATTTATTTATCATAATAGCAATTCAAAGTACAATTCTTTTGATAAAACTCTAGCGTAAACCAATGTATATTTATGAAAAATTGAGCTGATCATATTTTAAATGTGAGAATGCTAAAGAAATAATCAAAATCTGATCTCCCAACGTACAGACTATATTTTATTTATTCAACTCTCAACACGGCCAAGAATGACTTAAAAAAAAAATAGAACAATAGTTGTGAATACGAATTTTGATTTAACTACTGTGAATTCAGCTTGAATTTCCCGTAAGTGAATACTATTTGTCCTCATTTCTATTTTTAATCATGGCAGAGAGAAAGGAAACGCAATATCGTGACCTCTTTGGGCATTTTCACCCAAACGAAGGTAAGGAAGTACATCAGGAGCGTAGTGGAGAGGAGAGTGAAGCAAAGATAATCCCCTCAACATTTTTCTGTAGAGCTTGGCAAGTAGAGCATAGCTATAAGATACTTTGGTTTTATCAACTGAGTCGATAGAGTGAATTGTTTCTCGTGAAGCGTTTCTAAAGCTGACAATTCTAGCGTTCGCCCTTCGTCGAAGCCGACCCCTTGTACTACGGGTATAAGTGGTTAACCTGAACTGAATGTAGCTACAGAAGTTCAGTTTTTTAAAGCACGCGGAAGCGCCAACGTCGACAAACTGTAGCCTTAAGACGGTTCAAAAAGCTCATAGATAAAATGCCTAAAAGAGCAGAAAATGAGTTCGGAACTGTATCCTTTGGTCAACACAAAACGGCCTTCAGCTTGGCTATAAGCGCTGCACGGAACCCAAAGAAAACTTGCAATCTAACCCTAGTGTTAACTTGTCCTCTCCTAGAAATCAGATATCAACAGGGAGTCATCGTAGAGAGATGGGATGATATTGACGGCTATTTGGTTGCAAAACTTTTACAAGATCCCAGATTTCCCAAACTTCCAACATCACGTCAATACAATACAGAGTTCAGCGAACCGCACGACTGGGGAACTAATTATGGATCAAGAGTCAGAGGTTACTTTGTGCCTCTTCAAACAGGATATCACATCTTCCAAATAGGTATCAGAAACGGGGAAAAAACGGGTAAAAACTGCAAACTAATTAAATAATTTAGCTATCTGGCTACCTTCTATTCAGCCGAAAAAAGCAATAACCTAATGAATCCAAAAGGGAACGAGGCTTTTTTTAAGAGAATGGCGTTCAAGGCCCTTGATTCTTACATAAAAGTCTAAATGTAATGAAATTTTGAGTGACTGGTAATGTTTTACATTTTGGGTGACTGCGTAAAGGTTATTAACATTATTTTGTACAACTGGGCTTTCGCGTTGAAAACGTGAAACCATGATGTCACCGCCATTCAATTTACCATGATGTCACCGCCGATCAATTTTCAATTTATTGCACTAAATGCTATCCCAAAGACTTCACAGTCAGTTTAAATAGTCATTGTAAATTCCAAATTTTTCACTCCGGCCAATCGTTCAATTTCTCTGTCACCCAAACTGACAAGTTTCACTCCTGTCACTTAAGAGAATCACTTCATTTGAATGGTAATAAAAAGATTTTATTACCCTCCTTTTCAGCGAGTGACGATCAGGGTAAGTTGTTCTTCAGCCTAGACGAGAACCCTGACGGGAAAATGCTAATAGCTAGAGTTGACAAAGGTCACGAGTCTTCTCACTTGGGCTTTATCGCGTAAGTTAACACTTTATTTCATGGTTCGTACGTCATGGAAAATGGTCAAACACAGTTTATTTTCTTGTCTGGCTCGACCGAGGTTAGTCAGTGAGCATTTCTACATAGGACCACTGCTTTTCATCTTTCTTCCACTCTTCTTTCAACTCGTATCTCCTGGCTTTTCTGGCCCTGCTCACACATAAGGAGATTTTTGTTTATTGGTTATCAATAAAATCTCGCAAAGGGTCGTTGGGGTCACATGGTAAAAGTCATAATATTATCTTTTTTACATTTATAACGATCAAGAAAACGTTTTTCCTATAGATATCCCGAACAAAAGTCTCAACGAATACACTTAATAAAAGGGTCTTATTACTACCTCGAGGGAATTCATAAACAGCAATATGGCCGTGACAACTTTGATGTTGGTGTAATTACTCCCGACGGCAAAGAGCACAATCCGATCCCCTCCGAGTTTCTTCGTACAACAACACCACCCAAACCTCGACGTAAGATAAGTCGTCAACTTGCGCTCATTTGTATGGTGATACGAGTAGGACTGAGTGATGACTGTTAAACAGATTTTTTACCTTTGACCTGAAAAAATCAATCTTTGATCACAAGCAGTGAGTGCTTATCATTGTCAGGTTTTAACATTCTCATTCTTATCATTAATGTAATTATTCTTTTATCGTTACTTTGACATTCTGATTCATTTTTGAGCGCAGTCAAACGATGAAAAAACATCAGCTATTCACTAAAATGCGATGAAACTATTCAAAGCTGTACCAATAAAGTGTATTCATGTCTCCAACGCAGTCAACGAAACCTCCTCCTCTACTCTGATAACAATTGCTGCGCAGGCGGGAGCCAAGGCTGGCGCCTCCCTTGGCGTAAAACAAGCAATGAAGAGTGGCGCAACAGCTGGTGCAGAAGCAGGAGCCATGGCCGGAGAGAAAGCTGGAGCCGAGGCTGGTGCAATAGCAGCAAAAGAAACGGCAATGAAAGTAGCCACTAAAACACTCAGAGAGGCTTTGGTAAAAATTGGTACTTTCAACAAACCGGTACGGTGTTACTTAGGCATTCAGTGATCCAGTCTAAGTATCTTATCGCTGGCATTATGACATGATTACGCATAAACAGGTTCAGTGGCCACGTCTTCAGAGGCGTATAGAACCTGGGAGTTCCTCATGAGTGGAGGGACGGTCAGATTTCTCTTTTTGTCTAACTCAAACATCTAACTTTAAGCGCATGATTTCAACCTAGTTTTATCCTAGCGTCAAGTTCACGTTCAATACACTAACCCTTATTAGAATGCAGTTCCATGGTTTTTAACGATTTACACCTGCAATTCATTCGTTATTCTTATTATTCCTTCAAGATTTTTAACATTTATACAGCAAACGGGAGTGTTACCTCATTGCAACAAGGAGCAATATCCCAAGCCGGAGCACAGACTGGAATTCAAGCAGGTGTAACCGGAACAGCTGGAGCTGGAGCAGCAGCGGGTGCCCAAACAGAACTGATTACAGATACATATGTAGTAGGCAACGCAGGGTTGGAGTCCCAAGTTGGAGTCACTTTAGGTATCACAGGAACCCATGTGATGACTTCAGGAGAAGCACAAGGGACGACAATTACTGGCCTTTTTACACACGCTGTTTTCCACAATAAAACACTTGTCTATATTTATCCACCTCTTGGCATAAACGCTTTGATTTTTGCAAAGAAAAAAGGTCTTATAGACCCGCGAGGGTTCGCTTTGAAAAGTGAGTAAAAATGAAAAAGTTTTCCCTGATGTCTCCTTTATATTCTCTATCATGAAGAAAACGTGAAAAATATTTAGCAACTGAAATCCACGATTCAACCAAAATACCGCCGTTGGATTGCGTAATGCGGCCTTAAGGACACTTCAGAACAGCAAAAATTTAATGTTACCAACGACGAAGCCCTACTGATGTACTTATTGTAACATTGTTACCGCAACTCATACTTCCTCTAATTTTCGCACAGAACAGCCAGACTATTTACTTAAATTAACAGGAATAATTCTGGTGCTTATGGGATAAGCTATTGTATTGTTGGAAGTTAAATGAAAAACTATCGCCCTGTTATTTAATCTTTATTGTGCCGGATTGATGTTTCTCCCCACCATCACAGTTGTGAGTACAGCCATGTATGTCATCTACTCTACTGATGTACCGGCTGTTCAGGACCCGAAAGTCAATCTCTGTTGGCGAATTACTTCTGGAAGACTGGAGCTGTCTCGAAGTTGTCAGGTTATTATCAAATCGTTTTTTGAAATATCTTCGAATCATTTGTCTTCTAGCAACTGGTATCGTCAATGACTAATACGCGCCTATTGGCAATTTGTTGCTAGGTCTTTGTCGTCAGGATTCCGGGTTTTATTCCAGGCACAAAAGATGAGCAGTCTATATCATTTGAGTCTGTGTGCTTACCTGATAGCTACGTTCGCCAAAAAAACTACAAATTCATACTGGGAAAGACGGGAAACACGACATTCAGTAAGTAGATATTAAAGTTTATCAATTGTCTTCACAGTTGGTCCGGTAGGCAACTTCAGTATGGTCATTGTTTGTCTGCATATGGTTATAGAGCTTATTTATCAAATACGCTGGAAACTTCACTTGTCAAGTCATAACGATGTTAATTTTTTTTTCATCATATTTAGGGCAGGACGCCAGCTTTGCGTTTTCCCGAGCGTTTTCAGCTGGTTTTCAGTTTAACCTTAAAGAGCGAAAGGGGTGGTACATTTGTCGAAGTTCGAATAAAACCTACCACCGGGCGGATTTAGAGGCAGACTTCCACTTAGATAACATAAATTGGTTGAGGCGTTGTGCATTTGTTTTACGACCTCTTTCGGCTACAGAGAGTCCACGTATGAACTGCTTCGGTACAAATAAACCACCCCACCCACCCCACCCGACAGACAGACCAACAACAAAGCCAACCCCAGTCAAAACGATCAGCTCAACACCAAAAACGCTTCCAACGACTGCAACACCTCATAAACCTAAAGGTAAAGTAAAGATAGCTTCCCGACATGCTTCATGATATATTAAAAAGTATCCCCCTCCTTTGGGGCCTGATTAATCGATTACATCCAAAACCAACGTCATTTATATATATATCCGAACAAACCATATTTAAATGCGCCGAGTTCTCTTTAGCAGCTTTCTTAGCCGAAGCGTACCGAAACAAATGACCACACTTCTGATTGAACCATTATTTTTTCTTGCAGGACCATGCATGTATCTAAAGTTTTGGAATAACGCAGGTATTCCTTTTATGCTCCATTCCAGTCTTAAACCAGAGGGTTATCTAGTAAAAGGACGCAACCTACTTCTCCAGTACGTTATTGGAAGTGGTAAAGTGGTCAAGAGATCACTTGATGCTAATTACGATGACAAATATTTACCCCAGGTAAAGGGCGGTTAACTTTGGTCTAACTACGCTTACCTTTTAAACTCAATAGTACTAAACTATTGAGAAAAGAAAAAAAACTTATTGGTATAGAACAACTACCATATGGGAATGATTAGATTTCTAAAAGATGTTGTCAACTTTGAGCTTTAAAGACGATCATTAGTTTATCGGAATTTGCAAATCGTTCTTGTTATAACAAAACATTTATCTGAAACCTCGAGCTCCAAAGGGAAGTCAATCATAGTTTGAGTTATCAGAGCATGGCAACAGGGAAATCAGTGATAAGAAAAATAATTACGTGCGTTCCATTCCATTAGGATTTATAAAGCGCTCTTCTTCATTGGTTGTGCTAAGGGGAATAAGCCCAAATACCGATGAATATTTTGTAATGAAAAAAAACGTAACCGTGACTTGCAATTTTGATTCCATGATTAAAAGAAAAAACTATAAAACTGTATTGTTATATTCCAAGACTTTCACTCAACAAAACAAGCGCTGTGATTGGTTGATTCTTGGTCACGTGCCACCGATCGAATTCAAATGTATCCCGACCGTGATACAATTGCGCAGTTGTTGCCCGCGCGCCGAATACAACAGCACTTTTTTTTGTTTTTGCCATGATTGTTGAAGGGAAAGTCTAAATACATGATAAAGCACTTCATGTTTAGTCCCTCGGGAAACTGGTTTCTTTTGTTTTCCCTTGAGTCCTGATCGATGTTTCCCTCGACTTCGTCGAAACATCAGGACTCTCGAGAAAACAAAACGAACTGTTTGGCTGGGGACCATAAATTAGGTGTATAATATAACTTGTAGGTCATGGAAGACTTAGGAGATAGTCAGCAACTATTTCTTGACAAGAGTGAAATCCCATCAACTGGCAAACATTTTGTAAGTTTCTGGGCGAGAGATCCGGCTGGAAAACGCAAGATTCTCTTGGAGGGAAAGGAGACCTTGTATGTGACTCCAGGATTTCAATGCCATCACTTTATATATGTGACAGTTACGTCAAGGCCAAAACCAAGTAAGTTACGATTACTTTAATTTTCATATTTTGTTGCCAAGTGGCTTGCTTCTCGTTAACTCCTCTCACCAAGGTATCAGTTCGCATATTGGTATCACAAAATACGAATTTGCATAAAGAATAATTCAACATCAACCCTTTTATTTGTTACTTTTAATCTATTACTTTTTTATGGTTTTGCAGGTTTTCCAACTAAGAAGCCGACGACACTAAGGCCCTTCACGACTAAGCCTTCAAAATCTACCTTGTCTACCTCTCCGCCGCCACCTATACCACAAACACAAGCACCTCCTTCCCCACCTCCTCCACCTCCTCCCCCTCCACCTGACCCTCCACCTCCTCCCCCTCCACCT